GTCTCTTTTGAATAAAAAGTCTTTTTCGAATAATATATTGATGAAAGTAACAAAAAAGTAGGTATACGCTAAGTATACGCAGTATAACTTATAGGCACGTTATTTTCACTCTTGCATCCTACATATTTTCTATTTGTGGTAGAGTAATAATTATATAAACTAATGTCTTTCGCCTTATTGGATGCGTCATCTTGAGTTTTTCAATTTTGACGAAAGAATCATTATCTCCTACCCCGAAAACCCCCAGATACCAATTTTGAATAGAATCGGATCTTCATTACAAAACTCGTCCACTATATAGGATCCGCCATCTTGAATTTTCCAAGTATGACGAAACAATAATCATTATCTCGAACCCCGGAAAACCCCACATACCTTCCAATTTTGAATAGAATCGGATCATGATTTCAAAACTCGTTCGCCATATGCTTTTCCTCAACAAGTAAATACCCTGTACATACCTATTATTAAAATTTTGAATGATTTTCTGTAGCGCCCATGAATGTGACGTGACAGCAATGTCAGGACTCAGGAGGCCAGAGTAGACGTGCAGTAGACAAAACTAAAATCTCTAAATCATTGAAAAAGAATGCAGCTATGATCTGCCCGTACCCTGTTAAGATGACTTTAATGTCAATTTCCATCAAGGGAACCTACTCAACACTAGCTGAACACATCGAACTCAAAGTAATTGGGTTCATTGGCTGAACAACCTCAACGGTGTCGACAGTAAGTGCGACTACTGAATCCGTAAGTACTCTGCTGTGGTATCGAATTTATGCAGAAATAACATTTACCTTTCGTACACTTACGTACATTACGTTAATATATTGGAAGTCAAAATGATAGATGTAGGTTGCCAACTGTCGCGAGGAGCTCGTACTTTGCGTGGGTGGCAATTGGGCTGGAAACAATTCGATGCATTTATTGCAATTTTATTTATTCTCGAATTTCAGTGCAATTCACACCTGCTCTAATCTAGAGGTGGAGATAAACTACATTGATTCGAAATGCTCTCAAATACGGTTTGAATTACACGAAATGTACGAATGTTCTACACCTTCTGTACAAAAGGCAAGTAGCGGTAGTCAGCGGGGCTGTTCCAGTCACAGCTTTCAGCTCTGTGGTTGTAGTTCCAGTCAGTACTTTGGTACTAGATTTAGTAGTATTCGAAGACGTTCAGTATCAAAGTCTTTTTGATGAAATCTAGTACTAAATGAGGTTTGAGATCCTTGGGCAGGTTCACATTGTTCACCAAGTGGTTGAAAATGAATGAAGACATTTTCACTCCCACCAGGTGGCGCTACTAAAACGTTAGGTGAAAACGTAAAAATACCAAAATTTAGCGGGATAGCCATAAAGACTATGGCCTGTTTCATTGAAAATCTTTGACAAGAATGATGTGGAATATTTGAACAAATAGAAATCATCAAGTTATCGGAAGACTTGAGCTGGCTTATGTTTTTTACTCCAAATATGGAACTTTCCAACCAATTCTTACATTGACGGAGAAGAAGATATCGTAGGAAGATGCCAAATGACTCGAAAATAAGAAGTTTAATTATCAGTTCTACCAACCCTGACCTCACGATCCAGTGGCGATTTGGTGGATAATAAATAATGTTGGCCCTCATTGTGCCAATTCCTTCATTCATGAGTGGTATATTTCTTCCATTTTGAAAATATTTGAATTACTTCGATCAATTGAATTCCGTTTTTCATTTCGATATTTTCATATGCAGAAATTAATCCATTCATATTTGTTTCATTCTAGCAACTTGAATTTATGAATAAAAACTGCAAGCAAATTTGAAGAAAATTTTAAATTCAGTACTAAATTTCTAGTTCTAGTACTTTTTTGAAATGTGATCTAGTACTATATATTTTCGGCCAGGAACAGCCCTGCTTATATTTTGTTGTTTTTTCTTCGATTATAAGCGCCTTTATTCAAACTGAGATTCAAACCTTCATGAGAAAATAATGGACAATTGAGACGAAAAACGTATTTCGAGGAGTACGCAAAAATTCAAAGATGGCAGCAAAACATACAAAATTGGTTACCACCTTTTACGCGGAATGCCCCGAGAAACCTTCATACTGTTTGGACTGTTTTCATAAAAAAACATCAGTATTTTCTTTGTACATGGCTGTAAAGGGAATTTAAAGCCCTATTGAATGCTATGAAAAACAAATATGGCGCCCATAAGAAAAACAAAAGTTGCATAATATATCTCTGAAACTGATGGAGGTAGGCTATTTCTGATAATTTTTACTTCTTTGTCTTGATTAAATACCAAATCACACAAATTTCAATTTTTTTTATCGAATATTAACTGAGAAAATGAATGAGAACAAAATCAGCAATTTTCAGTAATTTCAAAATATTTCAGAAACGGATGATTTTTCTCTTACAGTTTGGGAGATAGCAATATTGTTCCTATTAAATCGTCCGGAGCCTGTATAAGTAGCTCTTGATTACGTCATATATAACGATATCTACTATATTTCCGTTGATTGATATATTACGCTTTAAGCGTAATATATCAATCAACGATATTTCTGAACAACTAATGAGAGCATAACCACATAGAAAATTCACTTTCACCGTAGAAGAGCACTGAGATACACACAAATATGCAATTTGTATGAGTCGAATCGTATACAGGGTGATTCATGAGAAGTGGCACATAGCCAAATGGAAGATAGAGGAAATCAAGACGAGTTCATGCATGTATATGAAAATGTTGTTTGGACGAAGATACAGGATATTGAATAAAATTGTCGTCTATATTTGATGACCGATATTCCATATCAAAAATCATTCATCGTAATTTGTTGAAACGTTATATACAAAAGCAGGTGGCATATAGGTATTTTGAAACAATAATCCAGATCCGGACGCTCAAGAATCATTTTTGTTTTATTGTTATAAGTAATATAGCTATTAAAAAAAATCATTTATAGTGATCATTCTTCCCGAAAAATCTTATCAGTTTCAGAAAGATCAGACAAAACGACATAACAACTACTCCTCAATTTCCAGGGCAAAATTTCGAGCGGTTCAATGAAAAATTATGAGACAAAAACGTTCGAATGAATTTTCAATTCGTGATTTTGCGTTTTATGAATTTTAATGGAAGTATTAATGAAGTATAGTAGGATAGAATCTAAAGTTGGTGATATGAATTATCCCAATAATATTATGCCCCCTAGCTCAGGTCGCAATATGGCCGTTTTATGACGAAGAGCACCCTGCATACAAAATTATTCATTAATTTAGATACTTTAGGCCGTTATACCAAATACCATCCCCGAATATCAGAACCTGCAACAGCTATTTCACAGAACATGTAAGTATATAGTTAATGAAGGTAAATAGATAGGTATAGATATATACAACCTGATGAATATTTTATGAACAATATTGAATGTAATAAGTACATATACAGGGTGTTTCAGTTTTTTGTAGCAGGACTTTAACAGCTTGAAGAAGACATTTTTTCAAGATGAAAATCTCAAACAAACATATATGCGTGGGAGCTTCGTTTCCGATTTACAGGGTGTCAAAGTTTCAGATTTTTTTTATGTTTCTTGAATTTTCTCCTACAATTTTCGGAATAACTGATTGAAATTTGGTACACCTGATACACTTCAAAAACTCAATATTTGAGGCTATTGAGCGTTTTTGAATACCTACAGGGTGATAGACTTTCAGGGGTCGTACCCAATTTAACCCTGTAGAACTTTTTTGCGTGCCGCCTCTGCTTTAAATGGGACATAGATTCAGTTTGTCTCTGGAACTTGGAAACCTTTTGCCCCCATGTATGTTTTTCGAAAACTGTATGGATTTCGAGATGAGAACCACTTCTATAAGGGTACTGATAAAATTAGAACTGCCGTTCACCAGATTAAATTACACCTCAACCGTCAGAAGCGACAGTCTAGCGATAAGGATGGACTTCTAGCGATGTATAGCGCCTAGACCGTGTGTCATACAGTCCCTGATATCGAAAGTTTAACCAGTTTCAGTTATACAGGGTGTCCTAGAATTTTCTACAATACAATTTCAGATTTTGCAATCCAGTTAGAAAAGTTTTTTTGAAATAAAAACATTTTTTCTTTGTTTGTCCTAGTTTCAATTCAAAAAATTCAAACTAATTTTGCAACTGAATTTCATTTGGTATGGAAGCTTTCGGTCATTCTGTTTTCTAATAAAATGTTTGAGAAATGTCGAATAAGTGTGTTTGAGAAATAACGGTTTAATTACAAGTAATTTATTTTTGGCATTTATCTCGAGATCCATACAGTTTTCGAAAAATTTACATAGAGGCAAAAAGTTTCCAAATTGAGAGGACAATCTGAATCTATGTCCCATTGAAAGCAGGGACGGTACGCAAAAAAGTTCTACAGGGTGAAATTGGGTACGACCCCTGAAAGTCTATCACCCTGTAGGTATTCAAAAACGCTCAATAGCCTCAAATATTGAGTTTTTGAAGTGTATCAGGTGTACCAAATTTCAATCAATTATTCCGAAAATTGGAGGAGAAAATTCAAAAAACATAAAAAAAATCTGAAACTTTGACACCCTGTAAATCGGAAACGAAGCTTCCACGCATATATGTTCGTATGAGATTTTCATCTTAAAAAAATGTCTTCTTCAAGCTGTTGAAGTCCTGCTACAAAAAACTGAAACACCCTGTATATATCGTCATCCTACCAATCCTATATCCATAAATTGTTCTAGGAAATTCAATTATATGATTATAGGTAGGTACCTACCTATGTTTCCCTTCATTTGGCATATGGAATATACTTTATTAGTAATATCAGTAATGTGATAATAATGTAGGTAATAACAATTATGTGGAATAAAGGGTTGTGGAGCCTGATTTTATTCGAATTGGTCTTATATAGAAATAGAGGTAATATAGGTAATCCAGGTATGAGTACTAACTATATATAGGTAGGTGATGATAGGTTACCTATACAAATTGTTTATAGTCAGTTCGATGAGTTTGTGAGAATGCTGTGGTCCGATATTTAAACTTCGTGATATACAAGTGATCATTGTAAGTAAAATGTAGTTGATGCTTATTGAATTCCTATATAAGAATCTTTTCTATACAAGGTGATTATCAAATCAATATATAAGTATAAATACAGGATGTCGCGTAAATACCAGGTAAAATCTTTGGTAAAATATAGATCTAATAAGACCTACTATAGAAAAATATCATAAAAGTCGTGTTACAGTTGTTGAGGTATTTTTTGATGAAAACATTGAATTCAATAATTTTTATTTGTGCTGTTGCAATTTTACACTTTCCTAATTGAATTTTTATTGATAATAAGTATACAGGGTGTCCAAAAATAATGCGTAAAAAATCAAGGGGGTGATTCCATATACATGATAAAATAAAGAAATTCATTTTATATTTACGTGGGTCCGAAAATGCATAGTTTTCAACATACATTGCTTTATGGCTGATATATAGCCATAAATCGGGGGGCAACCTATACCGAATATTATTGTCAATAAAATGTGCACCACTGATTTTTTTGAATTCTGTATCTTCATAACCTATATTGACCAACTAAAAATACAACATTTTGGTCTCTTGAATTGTTTTGATATTTTGCTTCATTTCCATGATGGAAAGGAATAAATACAAATTTAATGCATAAATTTGTGCCTAAAAATTCCTTCAAAAGCTGGGGTGAAAATTAATGCGTGATCCATGTTCATAGACATATGTAAAATGAAAATGAAGATTCATTGTCTCCAAATATTTCATGATACATTTTCATGATACATAATATGTTTGACACACTCTACACTCTGTATATTTTGAGAACTTTGCATGGATTATCTCGGTCCAGGGGGGCGTAGTTGTCTATAATACAAAGTGTGTCAAACATGTATTATAAAATATTTGAAGAAAATGAATCTCTATTCTTATTCCATGTCTATGGACATGGATATAAAGTTGGTATTTATTTTTTCCATAGAAACGAAGCAAAATACCAAACCAATTCATGGGACCAAACACTTTATCTTCAAAACTATGCATTTCCGGATCCACGTATACAGGGTGGCCCACGGTCGATGGTACCTTAGACGTATACGGAAAACGGTACATTGGATTATCCTGAAAATTTGGTTACTTCAATAAACGTTTGTGATCTAACGATTCAAAATATTTTCAGCGAAGCAGCGTTGCCACTTTTACCAAAAAGTAGCATCATCTTTGTTATTTCAAATGGAACGTCCTGTATTTTATTGCGTTTTTAGATTCTTCTCGAAGAGCTGATTTCATCAATGCATCACACTTGGGGTCTAGCAGGAATTATTACAGAGATATAGGGTGTTCAAAATCGAGATTTTTCAACTTTAGGATTTTTTTGTGTCGATACTATTCATCATTGGTCAAAACGACTCACATATCCCTGTATTAACTTTTGATTAACTATCTACCGACATTTAATTGGAAAAAATACAGGATGGTCCAAGATTCAGAATTTTGATCACCCTGTATCTGTTCCAATTAAATGTCAGTAGATAGTGAATCAAAAGTTAAGATAGGGACATGTAAGCCGTTTTGATCGATAATAAATAGTTTCGACACAAAAAATTCCTGAAATTGAAAAATCTCGATTTTGAACACCCTATATCTCTGTAATAATTCCTGCTAGACCCCAAGTGTGAACATTGATGAAATCAGCTCTTTGAGAAGAATCTGAAAACGCAATGAAATACAGGGTGTTCCATTTGAAATAACAACGATATGATGCCACTTTTTGGTAAAAGTGGCAACGCTGCATCGCTGAAAATATTATGAATCGTTAGATCACAAACGCTTATTAGAGTAACCAAATTTTCAGGATAATCCAATGTACCGTTTTCCGTATACGTCTAAGGTACCATCGACCGTGGGCCACCCTGTATATGAAATAAATTTAATGTTTTCTCATGCAAAATCGCCCCCTCTTAATTCTATGCGCATAATTTCCTTACACCCTGTATATATCGATCATGTCATACCCAATCCTAAACCCATGAATTATATTGTTCTAGGAAATTCAACTTTTCAATTTTCAATAATGTAATAATAATGTAGGCAATAACAATTATGTGAAAAGGGTTGTGGAGCCTAAATTTATTCGTTATGGTCGTATCACTATACAGTCTGTCCAAGATAAGGTTGAACAGCATGGGGATCTCGAAAACGGTAGGATGCGAAGTCGGTTAAATGGGGAAAAAGTTGCGCATTCGGAGGCTCATATCAAGAGCCTTCGAAAATTTTTAAAATTATATTTAGTTCTTTAGTTATATGGAAAAAAGTGAATTTTTGGAATATCTATTTTATTTTTTTTTTCTCCGATATTATTAGAGATACAGAAAAACTGAAAATATTTTTTCATAGCAACTTTTGATGAGGTTTAACGTGGTTATACCGATTTTTGTATGCGACGTTTCGTATCCGTAGAACCATCATCAACTTTTGTTTTTTGAATACGGTCCTGATAATTTTTTCACAGATTCTGAAAGGTTTATGTATTCTGAATTCAACCATGTTTTATACAAGGTGATTTGAATGTGTTTCGACCTATTTCTATCCATCATCAATGTTTTTTTGAACTTTCCAAAGGAAAAGTGACGTCAGTTCCATTTATTTCTGACCATTTAGTGTCAAACATTGATGGATCACTTATTCGATACTGAAAAGTGAATAAAATATATTTCACGTACTACATCATTCAATGCCGCGCTTCAAATTATTGTTGAATCCTTGCACGAATGACTTTAACAACTTAACTTTGACAATAATACCTTCAGAAACATTCATAACAAAATGTTCAAAATGATGATCATTATTTTCTGAACAAAGATACCCTTTTCTCACAGTTGCTTCAAAGACATTACTAAGCATTTCTGGAATTATTCTATTGAATGCTTCGATGACACTGTCCCTTAGTACTTCTTCATCATCAAAGCTATTTGCGTGTACAAAGTTTTCGATATATCCCCAAAAAAAAAATCCAGCTGTGTCAAATCAGGTGACAGCGCCGGCCAAGGGACTGCAGAATGAGTAGGTACCAATCCATTTTTCTGAATAAAAACGCACGAACTTCTCTGGAATTATGTACCGGAGCGCCATCTTGTTGAAACCAACAGTTCTGAACTTCCGCAATCGGTAAATCATCCAGAGCTTCCTCAAAATGATTCTCAAGCAACTTTCTATAACGTTAGGAAGTCTGTGTTTCATGGTGAATAAAAGCTAGGTCCAATAATTATTCGTCTCGCTGTAATGTATAAATGTTCATTTTCTAGTGAACAATAATGTGTATTTTTTCTATCGAAGATACCATCATGATTAGTGACCATGCTTTCATCAGTCCAGATGATTGTTCGCGGGAAATCTACAAAATTTTGACATTTCCTGGTATACCACTTACAGAATGTCCTGCGCCTTTCGTCATCGCCTGGTTTTAGCGCTTGACATATTTTTTTAATTTGTATGGATGGAATTTTTGTGTCCGCAAAATGAAATGGGTTGTTGATGATTGAAACCAGTTGATGAGGTTTAGTGTGTTGACTATAATTTTCCTTCAAAATAAGTAGAACTGATGGCATTTTCGAAAAAACATTGATGATGACTAAAAATAGGTCGAAACACACCTAAACCACCTTGTATAATAGCTACATATGGTTGAATTCAGAATTGAAAAACCTTTCAGAATCTGTGAAAAAATTGTCATTTGTGTTTCATCCTGAAATGAAGTGAGATAATAACAATAATATTGATTAGATAATTAGTAATATTCATAGAACTGGCGGTGACGTGAATTTATCCTTATTCAATACTTGAAGAGAAAAATCAATCAATTCATGAGCAAATAATAACTTGCATAATTGCTTCCATATAGAATGTTCCATATAATTGTATTGTTCTATTCGAATCAGAACTAACAGTAATATGTTCCACTTTATAAGAATATCATATTCGTTTATTTTTACTATTTTCACACATGGTGGCTTCTTGCAACGCAAAAAGCTGAATATTTTCAGCTTTTTGCGTCATTTCAATTACAAGAATTTGCATACAGGGACTCTAGAATTTGCTTCACCAAATCACCAATCAGAATACGAAACATAAAAAGCAAAACGTAAAAAGTTTGGTTGTGAATGTGAACGCCGCTTAACGCGAAGCGATTCCCCATACGCGCTTTACTTCTTGCGCTCTCTCCACATAATATGTTGTGTGTTTTCAAGGCTATTCAACTCTATAAGGTTGCCTCATATTGACCTGCCCTGACGTCACTGTTTCCCCATCGTCTTTTGTCGAACGGCAAAATGAAAATGGCGGAGGTGAAAAACAAAACAAACAAATTTAGCATTGTGCAATCAAGTGAATATTGATAAATTTTGAAGTTTTCCAATATGTTTTTGTATCCACGAGATAGTTCACTGTTTTCCCAAAACATGCAGCAAGTACAAAAGACTGAAAACAGAAATCTAGAAAGATATGTTATGTTCCCCAGTGCTTCTGTTGTACAGACACATTACATAAACTCAGTCAAATTCTTATTGCAATATCACTCCATTAGGATTGATTACTGTTGGCATTTAGTGATATGGAGGTTGAGCTACTGATAAAGCATTTTTTAATAAAGAAAATGTTATTGGGAAGTCTGAACCTAATGATGGAATCATGGTGGACAAGGGCATGCTGACAAGGGATGTGAAGAAATATCTTGAAATTGATTAGGCCATCATTTCTGAGAAACAAGAAACAATTAACTAAAGAGGATTTCCTTCTGGATCATGATAAATTGAATGATTCTAACTCACTGGTTTCATTTCAGTATCAATTTGGAACATATTATTGTTTGAAAATGCAATAATAAGAAAATGAATTAATAAAGAAGTCATCACAATTCATTCCATTTTATTAATGCAATAAAAGTGCAACATAATGGAAATATCTTTGAGATATCTTCCTCATAACATTAACACAAAATGTATCACAAAAAAACTGGAATCTTTATGTAAGTTTTGGAGGAAGAA